GCCTGCAATGATGTTTCCCTCCGAAAGGGAGGAGGTACCGGTTGCTGGGAGGCCGCTTGGCCTAGGAAGTCACCGCCCAGGAGGCCGGTAGGCCGCTATATCTTCAGGAAGAGCGAAGAGCTCTTCCTCATTTGCGGTATGCAAGGATTGGCGACATGCTGCTGGAGCGCTAGCGCTGGTCTGCTACAGCGCTGGGTGGAGGTGAAGGTAGCTGGGCGCTCAGCCTGGCTATGGCGAGCAGCCCAGTGTGAGGACGAGGAAGAAGGAGGTTGAGGGAGAGAGTGGCGAGGCACTTACCTGGCTATGGAAGACACCATCTTCATCACCTTGCTGGGCGCTGCATCTGGAAGGCCCCAGTTGGGGTAGTGCGGCACCAGGAAAGCTCGAGGCAGAGTCAGGCATAGCGGACCAAGTCAGCAGCGGCATAGCTGCTTTGAGTGGTCCTTTGGGCATCAGCGCAGCACCATAGCTGCTTGGGATGTCCTTTGGACATCAGTACAGCATCCTAGCTGCTTGGGGTAGTCCGCCATAGCCTAGGCATGAGAGAGGAGGATGAAGGAGGGAAGCCATAGCTATGGTGGACTTGTTGTTGTTGTTGTTGTTGGGTTGAGTCAGCAGTAAGAGGGAACTTCGGATATTGATTCTGGTTCATCCATTCATTGTTATTATTATTGTTGAGAGAAGAATAAGATTGGTGAAGAGAAGGAGGAGGAGGAAGGTGGAACGAGAAGGGGGGAATTGTCATTGGTCTTGCTGGTGTACTTCTTCTTCTTCTTCTTCTTCTTCTTCGTCTTCTTCTTCTTCTTCTTCTTCTTCTTCTTCTTCTTTACCTCTCCTCTGGTCTTTATCTCTTTGCAAGTGCTTTCATTTCTTTCGCAATTGGTTGGCATTGTCTTTCATTGTGAATTTGCACTTGGGAAATGACCAGGATCGTAACAATTCAGTCTAAAAACAGTGCCCTCAAAGTCAGTCTTGAATTAGACGGTGAGCTGCATCTCAAACTCAGTTTCAAACTCAGTCTTAAATTAGACGGTGACCTGCATCTCAAACTTAGGTTGAAACACTCAAACAGTCAAACTCCGTCTCAGACCATCCTTGGACACAGTCCCAGCCAACTACGTCCTTTTCAGTCCCAAAGGGACTCAGTCTCAGTCTCAGAATGTCCCAAACGCAGGCTCAAACGCAGTACTGAATAGGTCTTAAGATGTCTCAAGCTCAAGTCTCCAATATGGTATCAAACTCATTTACATACCCATCCTTGGCCTCACAGACAGACTCAACTCCAGTCTCAACTCCACCCCCAGCCCCCGTCAAACTCGGCCTGAAATTTGATCTCCAACTCAGTTCCAAACTCAGTCTCAAACTCAGTCCCAAACTCAGTCCCAAATTCACACAGTCCCAAATTGTGTCCCAAACTCAGTCCCAAATTCACACAGTCCCAAATTCTGTCCCAAACTCAGTCCCAAAGTCACACAGTCCCAAACTCTGTCCCGAAGTCACACAGTCCCAAACTCAGTCCCTAACTCAGTCCCAAAGTCACAAAGTCTTAAACTCAGTCCCAAAGTCACGCAGTCCCAAACTCAGTCCCTAACTCAGTCCCAAAGTCACACAGTCCCAAACTCACGCAGTCCCAAACTCAGTCCCAAACTCGCTCAATCCCAAACCCAGTCCCAAACTCAGTCCCAAAGTCACTCAGTCCCAAACTCAGTCCACTGCAGAACGTTGGGAAATGCATGAATCAGTTTGCAGACTCTTTCTTTCCTTTTTTTTTTTTTTTTTTTTCTTTCCAAACTCACTGCAAGTTTCTCTCTCACTAGTACTTACCTAAATTACACTGTCCATGCGGATGCCCTTGATTGGCCGCTGCTGCATACCACCTGGCAGCTTCCTTCTCGTCCCGCGGAACCCCTTTTCCTTCCTCGTAACAGACTCCCAGGTTGATCTGTGCATCTGCATTGTCCTGCTCTGCGGCTCTTATGTAGTAATCCGTCGCTTTCTCGAGGTCCTGCGCCACTCCCACGCCCTCCAGATAGCAAAATCCCAACTTGACCTGTGCATTGGGATCCCCGAGTTCTGCGGCTTTAGTGTACCAGTAAACGGCTTGCGACATGTCCTGCGGAATTGCGTCTCCTTCTTCGTAGAGCATCGCCAAATTCATCTGAGCCGTCAGATTACCATGGCTCGCCGCTTCCTCATACCACTTCATGGCCTCCTTCAAATTCTTTTCTATCCCTTCTCCCTTCTGATAACAAATACCCTGTTACAAAGCCCCCCCCTCTCCCCTCCATCGCCCCCCCCCTCTCTCTCTCTCTCCCCACCCACCCACACAAACCCCACAGGATCCCAACAACCCCCACCCCCACCTTGCCATAGCCCTCTCTCATTACCAGGCCCCCAGAATCAAGATGGAATCATCAATAGAGAAAGAACAAAGACGAGGCACAAATTTAAGCGACAATTCCGTAGAAAAATGAACGCTTTGAGGTCACCGTGTTAATATAAAGGGAAAACAGGGGAAAAGCAGGACAAAACTCTCCTATGGTGACTACCATGATGC